ACAAAACAAAAGACTGTCGGGGGCTGGGGTAACCAGAGCTCACTTACTTAGCTTGTTTGAGGCCCTGTGTTTAACCGCCAGCAATCTCATCTCTAAAAAAGTCCATCAAGCTTGAAATCAACAACATGAATCATAAAAGTTCAAAAAAACTTTTTGGGAGGGAAAAAGAAATCAAACTTAGGACATTGTTTGCCAGGCATCATTTAAATTTCACGTTAAAATAATCATTTGTTAAAATAGAAAAGAAAAAAGAAGAGGTAAGGCACTATACGTATGCTCCACCCACAAAAAGAGATTCTTGCACCAAGACTCCCCTACACTAGCCCCTGCTCTGCCCAGAGCCTTTCAGGCTCACTGAACCAGGTCTTCATTCTGCCTCTGTTCTCTTGTGGGAGGAAAGCACAAGGCTAGGGCCCACTGCCTTGTCTCAGACATGTCTACAAGTGCCAAGAAGTCACCTTAGTCTGCCCAGTAAAACTGAAATGAAGAAGTAACCATCCCATATCGCTCTTTGTCTGGCCCATGTTTGCTGTCCTTAGACTCACCGCTAGGCTAATCTTCACAGCCAGCCCAGAGCAAGTCTTCTCAAAGTCACCAGGCTGCATGCTGAGGAGAGATGACTAGTGAACAAGAGGAGGCCACAGTGTCTGAGTCTAAGTCAACAGACTGCTTCCTTTGCTGAGAAATTCTTACTGCCAAAACCAAAATATCCAAACCACACTGAAGTCCACTGAACAGAGGTAAGCTCTGAGGCCGGCTGCTGGTGAAAGCGCGGCATCTCACTTTGGGCAGGCACAGATCAGGGCCATTCCAAGCAGCACTACTGTGTGGATCACTACCTCACTTACAAGAGAGCAAGCCATGGTTCCACTGGGCCAAGGAACAGCTCCCAGGCCAGGAACTAATCAGCAACAGAGTGAGGATCTGTACCCGTGTCCTTAGTAAATTTCCCTTCTGCTCAGCCACATAGAGAAGCTCACACACAGCTGCTGAGGACAATCACTACTTGGCACCTGCAGCAGCACTGCCCCACAAGTGTACCACCAGGAAGGCAGGAAGCATGAAGCGGGCATGGCACAGGGCCAGAGGCAGCAGGCATTAGGGGGAGCTTCTAGATAGACAGAAAGAAAACCCCACAATCCCCACTGCTCCCAGGGTACTGCTTTTACTTTCAAGTTTTACTCTGAGAGGGAGACTCCCAGCAGATCAGAGCATCTTGACAAATCTAGGCCCAAGGGAGAAATGGTCCTGGTTTTGAAATCAAAACACACTTAACTCCTACCTGCTCTGCACATCATGTGATCTAAATTTCAGTTTCCACATCTGTAATTGGGGGCAAGCACAGCAACTGGTTTCTCACAGGGATGTGTTTGTGGACTAAATATAGCAAAAAAATGCCCAAGCACTGAGTTTGGCACCTGGCAGAGAGCAGTGCTTACTAAGTTCTAGCCTTCCATATCAGAAAAAACTAGTTTTCCTCAATCTAAAGCCTATGGCTTTGCTTCAATCATTCCCTCCTTTCAAATCCTAAATTCTATGTCTATTATACACATGCATGCAATGGTTAGAGGCAAAAGCACTGAGTGAAGCAAACACTGACATCTGTCCCCATGTTCCATGGATGGCTGATTACCAAGAGAACAGTAACTTGTGATGTGGCAGGTCAGTTTAAACATTTCCAATGAAACATCACTTATTCATTGCAATATATTGACAACATTACACTTATGTGTGACATACTATACTCTTCCATGCATTAGGGAGATACAAAGCTATGCTCACTTACTGGAAAATTTACCTTTCTATGATGTTTCCTTAAGTTGCTAGGCTAACAAGATGCATGCAAAGAAATAGACACCAGATTTATGACACGATTTAAAGCTAAACATTCAAGGATCTACTCAGGCAAATATATTACAATATGAAGGACAAGACAGAAATAAGAGAGACAGGATTTAGAGAAAATATAACTGGAAATCAAATAATCTTTTATCACAAATATAAATCTAAGTTATCCAAGATTTATTAGAAAACACTATAAATTACTACTCAAAGAGCACATTCTATTTGAACACATGCGATTTAAAGCAAGACACTGTATAGAACAAAGGGCCCTGATAACCACCTACTCTCTAATATTCCCATGATGACAAGGATGTTACAGCAACATCTATTATAAAACTGAAGAGCCAGGCATGGTGGTGCAGACTTGTAATCCCCGCATTTGTGAAGCTAAGCCTGGAGAACTGCCAACCTGCACTACATGAGTTCAAAGCCAGCCTGAACTGCATGGTGTCATCCTGTCTCAGAAAAACACAAAAAACTGAACAAACTTATTTTTAGTTAATCATTTTTTGTGCAATGCAGTAAAATCTTCACCTAGAATATGATTTACAACTTCCTAAAATATATCATTTATCCCTCGTGCAGTGGCATACACATGAAATCACAGCACTCTGGTAGGCTGAGGCAGGAAGGCTGCCAAGTTTGAGCTCATCTTGGTGATTTAGCACGATCCTGTCTCACAATAAAAAATAATACTGAAAAAAAAAAGGGTCATGTGTGTATCTCAGTGCACAGGCCTAGATTCCATCCAAGATACTGTGGAATACAAAGGAGTGGAATGGAATGGAAAAAAAAAAAAAAGAAAGAAAGCTAGGCATCCTAAAATATGTAACAATAAAAGCTAGCACAGTACTAGATAGGAGGCATTTTAATTAAAAAGTAGTCCATTAAAGACTATAGCATATGCCCTATAAGTTGATGAGATTTAGAATTCTGATTATAATCAATAAAATCTGATTCGTATTGTCTGTATAAAGTTCCCATAAATTTTACACTCAGCAGTGGCCCCTCCCCTTGCTCCTGCAGTATGTAGGGTTGAATCCAGCTGGGCCACTCAACAAACTACACTGCCAGCCATGTTTATATTTTTATTTTGACATAGCACATTGCTAAACTTCTCATGCTGGCCTCAGACTTAAAATCCTCCTTCTTAGCTTCCCCAGTAGCTGGCATTACAGGCATGTGCCACTGCAGTGAGCCCAGATTATTTTTTAACCTAGGAAATACTTCACTCATGAATCATGCAGATCCTGTACAATCTAAGGAAAAACATTCAACCAATTATATCTTGCTTGTAACCACATTGACAAATTATATATTAAATATAATTGATCACTACTGAGCAAAATACATTTTTAATGACAAAAACCCCAAGCCCCACTAATCAGTCACAATCCAGCTCAGACTCACACGTGCTTGCCTGGTTAGCTGTGCAGAGCCATCACAGAATGGGGAGAGGCTGAGAGGGGAGCTTCATGGACAAACTACAAATTGATAGGGACCTGAGGCCTGGATTAGAATTGAATCTGGAGATGGTTAAAATAAAACAAACACAAGGGTGGCATAAGAAATCAAAACCAACAATGGAAGCACACAGACCGTCAGCCAGCATGCTGAATTAGAGAACCAGGAAGAAAGAGTTTTCCTCCGTGGTTGTGTGTGGTACTGGGAATAGAAGGCAGGGGTACTCTAACACTGAGCTATGGTCCCATATTTTTTTCCTTTTAATTTCAAAACAAGGTCTTGCTAAATTGGGCAGCCTACCCTTGAACTTATGATTGTCTGCCTCAGTCTCCTGGGTAGCTAGAAAGATAGGGTTCACCCACTATGCTTGGGATACTCAGCTCTTTTTGAGTCAGTGTCTTCCTAAATTGCCCAGGCTGACCTTAAACTGGCAAACCTCCCACTTCAGTCCACAAGTAGCTGGGATTACAGATGTGTTGCTGCACTTCTTTTACAAATACTGGAAAGAAGGACACAACTGATAAATGAGATTGTCAAAAAGATGAAAATACAATGCCAGGCTTGGTGCCACATGTCTGTAATCCCAGCATGTGAGAGGCTGAGGCAGGAGAACTGCCATGAGTTCAAGGCCAGCTTGAATTACACCACAAGATCCTTTTTTCAAAAAACCAAACACTAATAAATAAAATAAGTTTGAAAAGAAGAAAAAGGGTCAGGGATATAGCTCCATGGCATAGCACTTGCCTGTCAAGCAGAACATCATGAGTTCAATTCATAGTACCAAAAGAAAAGAAAAAAAGAAAAGAAAATGGTTTGGTGAGTGGTTTGGTGCTTGCCTAGTATGTGAGAAACCCTAGGTTCAAACCCAATATGTCCAAAAAAAAAACAGGAAAAGAAAAGAAAAATATTGCTCAGTTAGTTAACAGTATAAATTATAAATACATCCAAATGTCACAAAACAGACTGCTGACACTGAACATTCCACTAAAATGACTTGCTTAATTTGATTATATTCTGGCTAAGAATGCCACTAAAAAGTAAAATGTATAGCAAGAGAAATAAAACCAAAGATACAAGTACAGGTGCAAAGCAGAATGTTGTAAATACAATTTCACATGAAATGAGATCTCATAGGCAAGATAAGCACAAAGCCTAAACTACCCAAAAACTATTCACACATTAGAGCTGATGTAACATCCAAAATTCAATACCATACCTCTGTGCCTGAGGAAAAATATGAAAAAATTAGAAGACACCTGATAATGCTCCCTTTACCACAGTCCCAGAGAATACTCACATCTCTTTAGCGAACTCAAAGCACAACTAGTACTGAAAATCCTTGTTTAAGGAGTGCATGTACTTGAGAAGCTGAACATAAAGAAAAACACATGATGACAGCCAAGAAGCTGCAAAGATGAAGAATCCACATGAGGGTGGAGGACAAACTCCCATAAACTAAGTGGGAAAAGCTGGGCAAGTTCTCCTCTACCTTTTTAAAAGACCACAGAAAAGGAGAAATTTCTCAACCAGGGGGAGGCGGTATGTCACGATCTGACAGCAATACTGTGTTGTATTATTCATATTTATACTCATTCAACAGTGCAAATGCTGAAAATAACCGACCAAGGAAAGGACAAAAAAAAAAAGGAATCATTATCCTTAACACTCCAAGCACTCAACATTATGACAACCCTGTAATTTTTATCACTTATTTCATGAACATCTCGTTCCAATTTCTTGTTCATCTCTTCAGACTTGATGAGATCCTTTCTTGCTGTGTCAAGATTTTCTTGCAGCTCTGACACATGGCTGGAAAGTGCAGCCAGGAGCTCCTTCATCTGACTCTGCTCTTTTGAATGTTTGTGTATGACTTCTTGGAGCACAATTATTTTGGCAAGGTCTTCCTCATGGCTTAAGGAGCCAGCAGAAGATCTCTGATGGGTAAAATGGACACTCTTAAATAACCTTAGTGTACTACCAAATAAAATACTTTTGAACATAGGGACTATCAAAATGGATTTATGCCATCTGTTGGATGATAGGACTCTCAACAATCACTTTAGCTGGAAGCAGGCCATTCCAGCAACAGCATCCAAACAGCATCACACACGAACCACAAAATATAAGAAATCAGCAACAGAACAAAGAGAGATCTCAAGGACTTACCTTTCCATTAGTGCTTGGTGTTTCTTCTTGTTCATGGTCAAGCACTCCATCTCTTGGTGATTTTTTCTGATTATTCTGTTTTTTAAGAGTCATTAGTTACAATCGAAAACTGAGTATGAGACTACAATAACTTATGGAAGAGTAATGAGTAAAGACAGCAAAATTCCATTTGGAAAAACATAATTCTACAGTGCTGAACATAGTATAAAAAAGACAGTACATGCCAAAGCTGACCATCCATAGCAGAACCAGATTACTAGAAACAGAATGTACTGACTGCTTGACAACAAATTTAGAGATTCTTGCAATCTGAAATAAAAATCTAATCCAAAAGTATTACAGGCTTCACACTGTTTTTTAAGAGATTAAAATAATTTTCCCTTTTCAGGGCTAGGATGATGTCCCACAATTACCTCCTTATGCGTGGCGCCCAGTTCCTCTTCTAACAAGCTGCACCTTTGCAGTGCTACGCGTAATTGCTCTCGCACCTGAAAAGAGTTGAGTTTTTATATGCATACGCACACTTTCCATATAGTTATCCTGATATTGATGAAAGGCATATAATAAAGTACTTTCAATGTCTTTCATTGCTAGTACTGTCAAGAAAATGTCCTTGTTAATGGCTTTAAATATTAAGGCTGGGAAACTCTTGTTCCTAAATAAATGAACACTATCCAGTTCTTAATGGGCAGTCAATATTCAGAAATAATCAATTGAAGACTCACATTCCAGTTAGTGTTTGTTGATTATGCAGAACATTGCCTTTTAATACAGAAAGTCTGTTTACAAGAACTCAAAAACTTAGCAAACCTTAAAGGTAAACAAACACATGCAAAGTCTGCCATGAACCCAGCAAGTGTAAGAACCCAGAACTACTAGTGTAGCTCATGTACTTTTTCGTCCAGGGTCTTGTGGTGGTCAAATAAGGATGTCAGTGCTTTTAGCACTTCCATCTCAGTGGACACACCTGCAGGACACCGCGCCTGCCGCTTCATCACAGTCGTTTCGAGAGAGCGTTCATGCCTGGAGACAAGGAACTCCAGATGTTCCAGGAACAGCTGAAACCAGGCCAAAGGGGGCGTGTAAAGAGCACCTTCAATTTCACATTCAAATCCTTCATAATCTCATGGTCAAACAAGTTCAAATTCCTACAATTCAGTAGAGTTAGGTAAATTTCCCTCAATTGTATTCGAATGTCATGAATTTCCATCACTAATTTCTTTTATTAACAAGAAGGTCTCATTTTGTAGTCTAGGCTGGCTTGAGGACTTACTAGCTAGCCCAGGCTGACCTCTAACTCAAGACATTCCTGGCTCAGAATGTTGGGATTGAAGGCATATGCCACCATGCTTTGCCTTCTATCACAAATTTTAAGCAACATTTAATACTGAACACACTCTACAGAAGGAAAAAGCACAAAACACTTAAACCAGAGCTCCACTGACCCTCATGTTGTTCCTTTCTGCTTTCAGTTCAGCAATTTCTTTTTCCCTCTCAAGCAGCTGTTCCCTGCAAATGTTGAGCTCTTTTGCAAGCGTTGAAAACTCCTGCAAAGCAGCAAAGTAAAGGAATAAATCAACACATACATGAATAAATTAAAAAAAAAAAAAACAACCTCTTAAGCAAGACTTCCATTGGCCTCATAGTCCACACACACAGGCAACCCAATCTCAAGATACATGGCAAAGGATTCCCATTCTCCTCCAGAGAAATGGAGATCAACCATTTGCTGTAAGGTGACATAGGTATTCCCAATGGAATGAGAGTCTAACCCAGGCCATCTGACTTCCCTCCACCCTGGCACTGCTGAAAGCACAGCAGGGGATAATGAGTGTCCAGGTCCACCTCCTTAGACTTCAGCAAATAAAAGCATTTTCCTCAATTGGCATCCCAAAATGAAGCATCTGAAGACATTTGTAAGTCAGTCACAGATCTGAGACCTAGAGCCCTTAGAGAGATCAAGGAAAAAAGGCCTAGAAGGTCACTATCCAATTCTAGTCCCCTCTCTATTCTGATTTTCCCTTAGTCCCTATAGTCTCCCTGAATCATTGGAGCAAAGTCAACTATGAAGAATGGGCTTACTGCTAGGACTAGGAAGCCTTTTGTATTCTCTGTAAAGGCATTCTCAAAACACTATGCATGCAGCAGTGTAGGAGATCTTGCAAAAGGCAGAGAGAAGCTGCAGGAGTCCTGCAGCACTGTTCTGTGCTAAACCTTGTGTTATGACACCGGTTCACAGATACCACAAATGAACTGAATTGAGCAATGTGAATTTGGAGCAAAGCAACTCTGAAATAAGTAAAATCATCTGCCAGTGTTTCTGGCTTTAGGTGCTTTTCCTTTAAAAGACAAGAATAAAGATCTACCGGATAAATAATCAGTCCTTCAAAAGAACATGTGCTTGAGCTAGATAATTCTAGAAAGCTAGTTTAAAACAGGCGATGCTCTTACAGGGCACTGGTAGCAATTGTTTGCAGCTCACAGTCAATCTCATCACAGAAAGCACAGGCCCATGAAGTCTGCTTTAACCAGACCACGACTCATGTGCCTATGTGAGCCACAGTGAGATTGGGCAAGTAAAGTGAGAGAGAAATAGAGATGACACTGCCACAGAAAGCACTGGAAAAGAGCAAAATTTCTTTTAAACTAGTTTTTCTTCTCCAAAAAATCATGACTGTGGGTGAGCCGAACTTAGCCTGGCAGGAACTTTGCAGCCTGCTCCCCAGGGAGACCTGAAATGATGAAAACCACTCTTCAAAGCTTCTGGAAATGGCTCAAAGGATAACAGCAAATGAGGAAATTATCTATTCAAGAAATATCAGGAATAAGGCCAGGAGTCCATGGTATTTGAATTAGGACTTCTATTTGCCTCCCCCACCCAGCTCAGCATAGCGGACTCCTCCAGCCAAAAACACAGGGCCCTTCACCAGGCCAAAACCATGGTGGCTCCCCAGATAACAACATAGAGATTCTTCTCCCCAGGCCAGCAGAGCCTTCTCTTTCCCAGCTAGCAACACATGATTCTCATATCCAGACCAACTGAAGGCCCCTTCTTCCCCCAGGCCAGCAAGGTAAGGTCCTTTCCCCAGGCCAACAACACAGGCTCCCCTCCCTGGACCTGCCATGCAGGATTGTCTCCTCACACTCAAATGCCCCCTCACCAAGGCCACTAACATAGGGTCTGCTTGCTCCTGCCTGCCAACCAGGTAAAAATCATCCAAATGTGTCTTAAAACCTGACAGAGTTCCAGCCAGTGTTGAGACATCTTCATAGGCCCAAAGCCAACCTTCAGGAATGGGACTTGTGGATGCGAAGCAGTAGGGGAAAGGGTATTGGCAAGCCGGCCATCTAGACTTCTGTCATGTTCTCTACTAAGTGTGAGCTCTTCCCTGTGGTACAGATTTCTCCTGTAGATGCCAACACGGCCCTGATCGAGGTACTAACTGGCATCGGCCATGGTGATAAGCAAGAGCTCACTGTCAGGTCACCTAATAAGTACCATTCCTGACAGAGTGTGCCCTCTCTCTAATGGAATCTTTTATCAGAAAGATTCTGGGGCAGGTAGAAGAAAAGTAGACTCTAATTACTCTAAGTCAAAAATCAAATCAATTCTATTCACACACCTATCACATCAATAGGTGGACCTGCCTCTAGGCCTGCCTGAATTGAGGGCCTTGAATTTTTCTCATTTTGTCTCTCTTGCTGCAATCTGGCTCACCTTTGGTGACTTACTGCCAATGCTCCCTCTTTGACCATGTCCACAACAGACTGTATCATTCTAGCTAAGGTCTGTTTCATTTACTAGATTCCAAGTTGTTTTTTTGTCATACCTGCTTCGTTTTACCGCCAGTCCCTGTTACTATGGATGTTAATCTGTCTCTAAGTATCATGCTCACTTATTTTGGCAGTTTTGGCAGATTCTCCACCCATCTGTGATCGAGTGAAATAGGCACCTGTTTGTGAGTAGTCATCTCTGTAAGCATGTCTTAGTATTATCTATTTTTAAGCACTGTGGAATCTAGTTTCATGCTCATCTAGATGAGGAGGCTTTATGTTGTTAGCAGTCTCCCTCTCCCAGTCACTTCCAGCTACTATAAAAAAAAAAAAACTACCATAGTCATAGGCTGGGTATTAATAAACAACAGATAATTATTTCTGACAGTTCTAGAAGCTGCAAGTCTAAAATCACATAGGATACAATGTTAACTTAGGACACAATCTTAAATTAGGATATATAACATATGATATAATCTTAACAGATAAACAGACAAATTCTGTATCTTTCTCTCTCTTTTTTGAGATAAGGTTTCATTATACAGTTCTGGCTGGCCATGAACTCACACTGTAGTCCAGGCTGGCTTCAAACTCCAGCAGTCCTCCTGTATCAGCCTCCTGAGTGCTGGGATTACAGGCATATACCACCTTGTCTGACTCTCATTTCTAATTGTAGTAACAAAACAAGACTGCTGTGGGCTGGGGTAATCAGAGCATGCTTACTTATTATGTTCAAGGCCCCGTGTTTAACGTCCAGCAATCTCATCTCTAAAGAAGGCCATCATGCTTGAAATTACTAACAAGAATCATAAAAGTTCAAAAATATTTTTGGGAGGGACCCAAAAATCAAACTTAAGACCATGTTGTTTACCAGGCATCATTTAAAATTTCAGGTTAAAACAATCATTTGTTAAAATAGAAAAGAAAAAAGAAGAGGTAAGGCACTATACTTATGCTCCACCCACAAAAAGAGATTCTTGCACCAAGACTCCCCTACATTGGCCCCGCTCTGCCCAGAGCGTTCTAGGCTCATTGAACCAGGCCTTCATTCTGCCTCTGTTCTCTTGTGAGAGGAAACCCAAGGCTAGGACCCACTGCCTTGTCTCAGACCTTTCTACAAGTGCCAAGAAGTCACCTCGCTCTGCCAGGTAAAACTAAAGTGTAAAAGTAACCATCCCATACCAGTCTTTGTCTCGTCCATATTTGCTGTCCTTAGACTCATTGCTAGGCTAATTTTCATAGCCAGCCCAGAGCAAGTCTCCTCTAAGTCACCAGGCTGCATGCTGAGGAGAGATGACTAGTGAACAAGACGAGGCTACAGTGTCTGAGTGTAAGTCAACAGACTGCTTCCTTTGCTGAGAAATTCTTACTGCTGAAACCAAAATATCCAAACCACACTGAAGTCCACTGAACAGAGGTAAGCTCTGAGGCCGGCTGCTGGTGAAAGCGCGGCATCTCACTTTGGGCGGGCACAGATCAGGGCCATTCCAAGCAGCACTACTGTGTGGATCACTACATCACTTACAAGAGAGCAAGCCATGGTTCCACTGGGCCAAGGAACAGCTCCCAGGCCAGGAACTAATCAGCAACAGAGTGAGGATCTATACCTGTGTCCTTACTAAATTACACTTCTGCTCAGCCACATAGAGAAGCTCACACACAGCTGCTGAGGACAATCACCACTTGGCACCTGCAGCAGCACTGCCCCACAAGTGCACCACCAGGAAGGCAGGAAGCATGAAGCGGGCATGGCACAGGGCCAGAGGCAGCAGGCATTAGGGGGAGCTTCTAGACTGACAGAAAGAAAACTCCGCAATCCCCACTGCTTCCAGGGCACCGCTTTTACTTCCAAGGTTTCCTCTGAGAGGGAGACTGTCAGCAGATCAGAACATCTTGAAAAATCCAGGCCCAAGGGAGAAATGGTCCTGGTTTTGGAATCAAAACAGACTTAACTTATACCTGCTCTGCACATCATGTGATCTAAATTTCAGTTTCCACATCTGTAATTGGGGGCAAGCACAGCAACTGGTTTCTCACGGGGATGTGCTTGTGGACTAAATATAGCAAAAAAATGGCCAAGTACTGAGTTTGGCACCCGGCAGAGAGCAGTGCTTACTAAGTTCTAGCCTTCCATATCAGAGAAAACTGTTTTTCCTCCATCTAAAGCCTATGGCTCTGCTTCAATCATTCCCTCCTTTCAAATCCTAAATTTTCCATCTATTATACACACGCATGCAATGGTTAGAGGCAAAAGCTCTGAGTATAGCAAGCACTGACATCTGTCCCCATGTTCCATGGATGGCTGATTGCCAAGAGAACAGTAACTTGTGATGTGGCAGGTCAGTTTAAACATTTCCAATGAAACATCAGTTATTCATTACAATATATTGACAACATTACACTTATGTGTGACATACTATACTCTTCCATGCATTAGGGAGATACAAAGGTATGCTCAGTTACTGGAAAATTTGCCTTTCTATGATAGTTCCTTAAGTTGCTAGGCTGACAAGACGCATGCATAGAAATAGACACCAGATTTATGACACGATTTAAAGCTAAAAATTCAAGGATCTACTCAGGCAAATATATTACAATACAAAGGACAAGACAGAAATAAGGGAGACAGGATTTAGAGGAAATATAACTGGAAATCAAATAATCTTTTATCACAAATTTAAATCTAAGTTATCCAAGATTTACTAGAAAACACTATAAATTACTACTCAAAGAGCACATTCTGTTTGAACACATGCGATTTAAAGCATGACAC